AAGCCCTAAACCCTAAACCCTGTGGCCCGGACCGAAGTTAAGCCCAATCGGCCAACACCCCCTAAACCCTAAAACCCTAAAACCCTAAAGCCCTAAACCCTAAACCCTAAACCCTGAACCAACCAACCTAAACCCCGAAGGCCTTGGCGCACATGCTCATCTACTTCCTCCGAGGCGCTCTGCCCTGGTCGGGGCTCAAGGCCGGAGGGATGCAGACGACCATTCAGGGGTTGTGAGGGTTTAGGGTTTATAGGGCTTATAGGGTTTGTAGGGTTTATAGGGTTTATAGGGTTTATAGGGTTTATAGGGTTTATAGGGTTTATAGGGTTTATAGGGTTTAGGGTTTAGGGTTTATGGTTCATAGGGCTGATCGGGTTTATGGGGTTTTAGGGTTTATAGGGTCTAGGGCGACAGAGATATGGAGCGAAGCATGGTTGACATGTTCGGCTGCCGGGGCGTGCACTGCACCGACAGGAAATTGGAGGAGCCCCAGGTTTCTTGGAAGATGATGCTTGCAAGCCGAAGCCAGCTGAAGCATCCGAAGGGTAGGGTTTAGGGTTTAGGGCCTCCGGGCGAAGTGGAAAGCCTGTTGCAAAAGGGTTCAGGGATCCGAAGCCCTTGAGAAAGACCACTCGGTACAGATCTTCGCAGCGGCAGATGGCTGAAAGGCGGAGATGCAGGAATATGGTCAAAGGGGTTGATAAAGCATGGTCTGCTTTGAAAACACCAGGGCCAGTTGCTAACCTTCTCACTGATTATTGCGATGTTCATTGAGGATACCAATCTACCTGAACCGTCCGAGCCACCCCACGAGACAGAAGTAGGTTAAAGGGCATCCCGGAGTTTCTTTCATGGCTCCTCCCTGCAATGCAAGTGGAACAAAGACAACGACAGCCCTAAACCCTAAACCATCCTAAACCCGAAAAGCCCTAATCCTCTATGGGCCTTTGCCCCCATACCGAGCCCTAATCAGCCCGCATCGAAGCGAACCATGGGAGTTCCCAAACTCTCTTGGCTTCAGCAAGCTCCCTGGCCAGGGAGCTAAGACCGAGCAAGAGAAGTACCGGATGATTGGAGATAGGCCAGATCGGGCGGGCTTATAGGGTTTAAGATTTAGGGTTCAGGAGCTAGTTCTTGTAATTATTGGATTTCGAGGGGGAAGTAACAGGGAAATAGATCGCCAGTTGTATAACATTTTAAGAATACCCCTTGGGGCCTTGTTTATCTTCAAAAGAGCACCACTGGAGTTCTGGGGTCTGAGCCCGAGCTTGTCGGCCTTCAGATCTTGCGGCAAAGCGCACAAACTCTACAAGCCCGCACGCCCCTAAACCCTACCCATAGGCCCCATAGTAGTTCCTTTTAGTGGTTTGTATTTAGGATCCTATTAGGTAATCCCAAAAAGGAACTACTAATTATGGGGCCTCTGGGTAAACCTAAACCTAGACTCTAAACCCTAAACCCTTTACCCTAAACCCTAGGTGGCTCTTCCTCATGGGCCTCCGGGATGGAGAAGATTACTGGAGCCTCCAACCAGTACTACCTGAGCGAGATCGACGACACCGTGAAGACGACCTCAAGAGCCTTCCGGCCAGGGACTTGCCTGTTATGATGGCTGCCTTGCTCAGGGTACTGTCGATGCTCATGGTGGAGTGCTCCCAACTGCTGCTGGTACACCCACAGACGAGGCCCGACGATGAGGTCCTTGTGGAAGTTCATGATGACGAGGAACGTGAAGAGGAGGAGTCTATCTACATGCAAGGCCGCATGGTCGTTGGGAAGCGCAAGCGCCTGGAAGCCCCGGAGGAGGATGACCGTCTTGAAGAGGACCGGCTTCGACAAGCACGAGATGAACAACGGCGCCAAGAAGAGGAACATGACCGGGAGATGGAGGAGCAAGCGGAGCAGGACGAGCGCTTGTACCAGGCCCACCAGGGTGCAATCTACAAGGATTGGGAGAATTGGGAAGTTGCCCACTATGTTCCGGGGCCTCCGAGACAGAGGATGGTGACAGTCAGTGTCAGGCAGACTTTAGGGAATGGCGAGTTGGCTTGTCACAATCTCCAGTGCTGCCTGCCTCATGGACGAGGGCTTCCTAGTGTCGCGATCTCGATGGAGGATGTGGTGGGAACCGAGCCGAGTTCTTCGGGTCCGTCGCAGCCGGCTTACCCGGACCTTGCAGAGAATTACCAGCGGTGGAAGCAGGGACAACTGGAGGACTCCTGGGTGTCGTCGGCACTCGGTGCTGAGATCTTGTGCCTCTACCATGCGCAGCTGCTTGCGGATGAAGAGGGCTGCGCTCTTGCTCCGGGGGAAGGTGGTGGACGAGATCTGGGTGCGGACATGGTGCCTTCGACTACGGTGACGCAAGTGATGGAAGACAGTGTTGTTGAGAGTGTGCCTGCTTGTGATCCTCTCTCTCGCAATGGTGGCTGACGGTGACCTCGGTGATGTGGTGTGAGTGGCTAGGATATTTTGACTGGATGGGGCTCTCGCCCTGTCTGGCCCGCCTTCCCTATG